TTCTGGTGGAAGTTTTGGGATCTCTTAGATATAATATCATATCATCTGCAAAAAATGGTAGTTTGATCCCTTCTTTTCCAATTAGTACTCCTTTAATTTCCTTCTCCTGTCTTATTGCTCTAGCCAGAGTTTCAGACACTGTGTTGAAAAGGAGTGGAGATAGTGGACATCCTTGTCTGGTTCCTGATTTTAATGGAAATGCTTCCAGTTTTTCTCCATTTAGAATGATGTTGGCTGTGGGTTTGTTGTGTATAGCTTTAATGGGATGATGAGGTATGTTCCCTCCAGTCCAATTCCCTCTAAGACTTTGAACATAAACACATGCCAAATTTTGTAAAAACCCTTACTGCATCTATTGAAGTAACAATGTGGTTTTTTTCTTTGAGTCCCTTTAAATGATTAATGACATTTATTGATTTGCATATATTGAACCATCCCTGCATCTCTGGGAAAAAAAGCCTACTTGATCATGGTGAATGATCTTTTTGATGTGTGTCTGTATGTAGTTTGCAAGTATTTTGTTGAGAATTTTTGCAACTATGTTCATCAAGGATATGAGTCTATAGTTTTCTTTTTTGGTTGTCTTTACCTGACTTTGATATTAGAGTGATGCTGGCTTCATAGAAGGAATTTGAGAATTCTTCCTCTGTTTCTATCATTTTGAATAATTTAAGTAGTATTAGTTGGAGGTAGTCTTTAAATGTCTTGTAGAATTCTGCTATAAATCCATCTGGGCCTGGGCTTTTTTAGTCGTGAGGCTTTGTATTACTGTTTCAATTTCCTTGTGTTATGGGTCTGCTTAAACTGTTGATCTCTTCTTGGTTTAACTTTGGTGGTTCCCATGATTTTAAATATCCATCCATTTCTTTTAGATTTTCAAATTTGTCAGCATATATGTTTTTAAAATATTCCCTTATAATGGTTTGGATCTTTTGGGTGTCTGTTGTGATGTTTCCCCTTTCATCTCTGATTTAGTTGATTTGGATTTGCTCTTTCTTTCTTTTGGTTAACTGGGCTAAGGGTCTGTCTATCTTGTTTAGCTTTCCAATGAACCAACTCTTAGATTCATTGATTCTTTGTATTGTTTTTTTTTTGTTTCTATTTTATTAATTTCTGCTATGATTTTTGTTATTTCTTCTCTTCTCCTTGGTTTGGGTTTCATTTGTTCTTCCTTTCCTGCCTTGAGTTGCAGTGTTAAGTCATTTATTTGGGCTCTTTCTAATTTTTTTAATGTAGGCACTTAGAGCTATAAACTTCCCTCTTAGGATGGACTTTAGCGTGTCCCAGAAGTTGTGTTGTATTGTCCTTTTGCGACACTTGATTGTTTCTTAGTGTCATTTGCTTGGGATATTCTTTTCCATCTTTTTACTTTAAGGTAGTGCCTGTCCTTGAAGGTGAGATGGGTTTCTTGCAGACAGCAAAGAGATGGATTTTGTTTCTTAATCCATTCACTTAGCCTGTGTCTTTTGACTGGGGAGTTCAGTCCATTGATATTTAAGGTTATTATTGAAAGATGTGTATTGGTTGCTGTCATTTTGATTGCTGTTTGTGTTCTCTGTCTAATTATGTGTTTCCTAGATTATACCTTTATTTTCTTTTGTTGCCCCAGGATATAGTTGTTTCTCTCACTTTTCTCTTTATTGCTTCAAGTATTCTTTGAAGGGCTGGTTTTGTGGACATGTATTCTTTCAGGCTTTTCATGTCATGGAAGATTTTCTTTTCCCTCTCAACTATAATAGACATTTTTGATGGGTAAAATATTCTGGGCTGGCATCTATTGCCATGTAGAACTGGAAATACCTTGGTCCAGGCTCTTCTGGCTTTCATAGTTTGCATTGATAAGTCAGCTGTAATTCTGATGGGCTTTACTTTGTATGTGACTTGCTGTTTTTCTTTTGCTGCTTTCAGTATTCTCTCTTTGTTCTGTACACTTAGTGTTTTTACTGATATATCATGGGGAGTTTATTTTCTGATCCTATTTGGTATTCTATGTGCTTTCTGTATTTGTATAGGGATATCTTTTCTTAATTTCAGGAAATTCTCTTCTACAATCCTGTTTAAGATCTGGTCAATACCATTAACCTGAAATTCTTCTCCTTCTATTCCTATGATCTGTAGATTTGGTCTTTTCACGGTGTCCCACATCTCTTGCATATTCCATTCCTGTGTTTTCTTAAATTTTCCATAATCTTTGCTTGAGTGGTCCAATTCTTCAACTTTATCCTCCAGCATTGATATTCTATTTTCCATTTCATTCATTCTAGCAGTGAGGCTTTCCCCTGTCATTTCAAGTTGGTTTATTGAGTTTTGCACTTCCTTTTTCATTTCTGCCTGAGTTTTTTTCAGTGTTTCTATCTCTGTTGTGAATTCATTCAGGAGTTTAATCCCTATTTTCTTTTAGTGCTTTGATTTGCTTGTTCATGTGTTCTTTAAATTCATTGAATTCCTTGATCATGTTTATGATTGTTATTTTAAATTCTGTGTCCTGGGTTATGTCTAGGGGGTTCTCGTTGTAGAACTCTTCTACAGAATTGGTGGCTTTTTAGTAGGGACAAAATGTTTTGGCTTTCCATTTTATTATTCTTTAGTTGTGATTTTGGCATGTGAATTTTTTGTTGTTTATGATTCTGATATGAGAATTAAGTTAATATATGCTTCTGTTTGTATTATCAGGGTTCCTAGTTCCTTTCTTTATTGGTTTTGTAAAGCTGATTGGTACAGGGTTCAGGTTCTCTCAGATTTAATTTGAGGGGGATCTAATGGCTTCAGATCAGCTATTCAAGAATACCCACAGAAGCCCAATTCAGGTTCCAGTCAGGTACACTCAGGTTTCCTTCACCATGTGGAGACAGGATCTGGGAGCTCTCAGACAGTCCCCTGTGTTCTCAGGCCCTCTGCCAGAGGGAGGCCAGAACTCAGCACTCTCTCTGCTGAGATCAGAGCAACTACACAGATGGTGTTGCGGGGGTACATTTTGTATTCTGCCTTTGCCATAGCAATACATCATGGGTAGGTCTTGGTTCCTCTAAAATCTCTTGGGAAACAATTTTAACAGAGCCATACCATTAAAGCTATATAGGGTCAAAATAACTTAAGTACTCTTTTTTTTGGAGTTTGAATTTTTCATCCCAGTAGTTCTATAATAAACATCTTTATAGGACCAGAGAGATGGCTCAATGGGTAAAGGTGCTCACAACCAAGCTTGATGACCTAAGCTCGATGGCCAGGTCCCATATGGTGGAAAGAGAGAACTGAGCCCTGCAAGTTGTACTTTGACTTCCACAATGTGCTGTGGCATGCATATGAATGAATACTAAATAAATAAATAAATAAATAAAATTTAAAAACATCCTTACAAGAAATATTTCTCTATCTTCCCTTTCTGTACTCACAGGATTGGTTCTGGAACCCTACAGTATCCAAATCTTAGAATTCCTGTCTCTTGTATAAAATAGTATAGTGCTTGCATATCACTATATATGCCCCTCTGTGTACTATAAATCATCTCTAGAGGACTTAAAATACTGAATATAATATGAATGCTTATATAAGTAATAGACTGTTGTATTCCTTAGGGAATAAGGACAGGTGTTTGCACATGTTCAGGGTAGAAACAGGCTTAACTTTTTTTTTTTACATTTATTTATTTATTTTGTCGGGGGTGGGGAGAGGTGCATGGGCCAATGGCATGCATGTGGAGGTCAGAGAATAACTTGCAGGAGTCGGTTCTCGTCTTTTGCCATGTGGGTCTTGGGATCAAACTCAGATCCTCACCCACTGAGCCATCTCATCAGGTCAGAAACAGCCCCCCACCTTCTCCTTAATGTATTTTTAATTGTGATTGGTTGACTTTGAGGATGCAAAGCCTGTGACTATGGAGGGCTGACTCAGTTTCTCAGAATTAATTCTTGGATGGCTTGGAATGTGGCTCAGTTGATAGAGTGCTTGTCTAGCATGCATGAAACCCTGAGTTTGATCTCTGGCACTGTAAAGGTTGGGTGTAGTAGTAAACACCTGTTATCCTAGTACTCAGAAGGTGGAGACAGGAGGATCAAGAATTTAAATTAATCATCTTAGGCTCCATGAGACCCTGTCTCAAAAAATTTTCAATTATAGGAATAGAAAGGAGGCCAGAAGAAACACATATCTCAATGGATATAT